TTGGAATTGGATAATGTGTGGAGACTCGAAGAATCTTGAGGTTCATGATAGAAAAAGCCCAAAATGCCTTACCTCACTGTTGCAGAAACAGAGATATGAAAGGCTGCTTGTGGGTAAGGGCTCAGAAGGAGGAACACGTCAAGAGCAACTGGAAGAAGGTTCGTGACCCCTTCCTGGCGCTGCTCCAACCTCTGCTCCCATTGTCGTACCTGTCCTGTCTTCTTAGCAAAATCTCCCTGCTTCCCTCCCCTAAGAATGCGTGTGATTGTATTTAGCGCCCACTCAGATCATCCGGGGGTAATCCCTTTATCCCAAGATCCTTAACTTGATCACATCTGCAAAATCTGCCAGATAAGATAACGTCTGGGTTCCGGGGATTAACACCTGAAATCTTTGGGGGCCATTACTTCAGTTACCACAGGGTCCGGATTTGGGATCAGAACATACTTGAGTGTGAGTCCCAGCTCGACATATTACTCGGCCTGGAACTTGGGGAGCTATTTGTTTTTACTCTGTATTTATATCCTTACTTATAACACGGAGAAAGTATTAACCTTATGGTTATTCTGGTGATGCTTTCATAAGAAAATCTACCTAAATATTCCTGATACTCAGTAAACAGGGAGTTGATGCAGACTGATTCTCCTCCCTTTCCGTTCCTCGTGCTCTGTTCGCTCCTTCCCCTGCGCCCCTGGTGTCCCCTCTCCCCTCACCACTGCTCTGCTTCTCCCAGCTTCTCCCACTCTGCTTCTGCCGCCCCTTCTGAAGCCTGCGTTTCTACTTTGCTCCTGCAGGTCGTGTCCAGAGAGAGGACGAGTTGCCCCAACATAGGCTGGGAGCTGCAGGGACCTCCCAGGCCAGAACTTGGTGCGAACCATTGGCGGAGAGTCCCCTGGAAGAGGTGACACTTCCCGGCTTCCCTTCGTGGCCCCTGACTTGACCTGATGGCACAGGGACAGAGACCAGTGCTTGCTTTTCAGGTAAGGCCACCCGAGGCCAGAGGGGCAATCGCTCCACTTTCTCGGCCTCTGAAAGCCCATATATGAATTCAAGAAGCTGAAATACTCAAGCATTAAACTTTTAGAGGTTTCCGAAGTCAATACTTTCTCTTTCCAATCTTCCCAAGGTGAAATCTGGTCAAATTAAATCACCAAGAGGTCTGGTGGCCTCCTCTTAAAAGATGTGGAAATATGGGGGCACCTGAGTGGCTCAGTCGGCTGAGCATCCTACTCTTGATTTAGGCTCAGGTCATTATCTCACGGTTTGTGGGTTCGAACCACGCCATGGGCTCTGTGCTGACAGCTCAGAGCCTGCTTGGGATTCTCTCTCTCTCTCCCTCCCTCTGCCCCTCCCCTGCTTTCTCTCTTCCTCAAAATAAACAAACAAGGAAACAACCCAAAAGATGTGGAGAAATGAAAAGATACAAAGTGTCAAAGGCAGTGAAGATGTTCATCTCATAGTCCCAGATCCCTGCCCAGGTGACAGGCTTTGGCTTGAAGTGTCCCTTCCTTCCCAGGGAGGAGGAAGGCCAGACTCACAGAGGCTCTGGGACATCACCTTACTGGGGGTGGCTGGGTCTACGGAGGACAAGTTGGTTAACTCTCGTGGCTGCCACGGGGTCTCCAGCGCCCACAGTTGTGCGTGGACACGGGGGCACTCCCTGGAACATGTGGGTGGGAATAGTGGACATTGGCTTCACCTGGGAAAGGGCACATTCCCCTGCACGCGTTGTTTCCTTTGTCTCACTGAACACAAGAATGATCTCTCAGAGCAGATGAGGGTGGGATCTCTGGCAATGGTGGCAGGGCCCCCGAGGACAGTTTCAGGACCAGCGGCCCTCCTGAAGGCCACAGCCAGCCTGGATCTGAGGCATGCTCAAGGGTAAGGCTGTAGTAGTCATGAACTTGGACAGAAATGTAACAGCAAAATCATCACTCTTCTCAAAATCCAAATACGTGCTGTTAGTGCATTTAAAGAAGTCAAAGAAGTTTTAAAATCAAACAAAAAGTTAGATTTGAAGCCAAGTAACATTTCTTTTCTTTTTTTTTTGAGAGAGAGCAGGAGTGAGTGGGGGAGGGGCAGAGAGAGAGGAAGAGAGAGAGAATCCCACGCAGGCTCCATGATATCAGCAAGCAGCCCAATGTGGGACTTGATCCCACGAACCGTGCAATCATGACCTGAACCGAAATCAAGAGTCTGACACTTAACCGACTGAGCCACCCAGATGCCCCATGGCCATCCTTTTATAAAAAACGCCAGTCACATTGGATTAGGGGCCCACCATACTCTAGTATGACCTCAACTTGTCACACTGGCAGCAATCCTATCTTCAAATAAGGCCACATTCCGAGGTCCAGGGGGTTAGGGCTTCAATATATCTTTTGGGGGAACATGATTCAGCCCATAACACCCTATGATCTGGGACAGATCACTGATCCCCTTAGGACCCCTCCCTATGATCTGGAGCAGATCATTGCCCCCCACCCCCACCCCAGGACCCCTCCCGATGTCCTGTAAACTGCTCAGTCCTGACTGGGTCACAGAAACAGCGACTGAGACAAACTGATCTGAGTCTCACCCTTTTCTGCCCTAGGCTTTAGCAGACCTGATCTTGGGTCCAGTTCAAGGCCTGGTCAAGCTCTTCAGGACCTGATTAGTATCTCGGGCCTCAGAGAGTTACCTCTGAAGTCTTATTTGATAGAATTGTGTCCCATTATTTTTGATAAAAATATGTAACTAATCTATCAAGAAACCTTTCAGGAACGATCCCGAAGTACTGGCCCAGGTTTTACCTAAGAGGTCAAGACTCAACACCCTGATAGGTGGACTTGGGGTGATGGAGCAAGTTCAATCTGCCAGAAATGTAGTATTTACAGAGTGAAGGATAGGCCCGGAAATTGGGCCGATGTCAAATCTGGAGTGCTCCATAGAATTTCAAATTAAAGGTGTAGGAATTAGGGAGGAACCAAAGCATTTTCAACATAAGAGTGGTGTCAACAAAGTTGATCCCCAGAAGATCATACAACAGAGGCGGAGCATGGAGGAAGACGGACACAGAAGACTCTGGAAGGAAGGAGACAAGGGACGGACCAAAGCAAAATTCCTGGAAGCAGGTCAGGATGCAGGCTCTGAAGGAGGAGAGAAGGGAAACGGAGCCCTGACATTCATTCCGGTGGACCGGAGACAGGTGCATCCTGGTGTGCGCCCCACACCTTCACTTCTGGCTGCTGGAAGCCTCAACCCAAGGTGCTCGAAAGTTCACGAGGAATGTTGGAACAACACCTGGGGAGCTGGGGTTTGGGGCCATCGGCCCTACTGATGATCTGTGATGAAGGGTCCTCACCACTCGAGGGCAGGTTACTGTATGATGAGCAAATGTCCACATGAGAGATGGTGGGGATTTAGTCACAACTGATGATCCATATGGGAGAAGACCAAGGGGCCTACAACAGGGACCCCGGGTTTGCTCTCATCTCACCATGACCCGCTGGTGACCTCCCTCCAGCCTCAGGTTCCTCAAGCAGGAAGAGGAGTGTGTGAATGGCTGCTTGCCCGCGTCAGGCGCTGGGCTCGGTCCTGTATCGTTATCAGCACTGCTGAAGCCTAGCAGGTAGACACTATTAATTGTGCCCATATCACAGACGAGAAAACTAAGGTTCAGAGACCTGAGCCTTTTGTGCGTCAAGGAGCTGGTCAGTGGTGCACAGGGGTCTTGAACTCAATGGTCTCCGGCACCTCCTAGTCACCTCCTAGTCTGCGGTTGGGCCATTATTTGGGGGCTGAGCGGGGAGAGGCCGGAGAGCCTGGGAGTGCGTGTAGGTCTGCGCACCGCCCCCCCCCCCCCCCCCCCCGGAGGGAGCCTTCTGCTCAGCTGCTGCAATGTCGGACCTGCAGGGGCTGGGCAAGGATCCTTGACCTTGGAAGGCCAGTTTACAGGCCCCTGAGAAGAGCCGGGAGATCTGGTGAGCAGAATCTTTCCCAGAGGGGTTCATAGCCTCAGGGTGCATGGCACCCAGAGGCTGCGCAGGTGATCCTGGCGAGGCAGGGCGGAAAGGGCTTATAGCCGAGGAAGGACTGTACCTCCGTTCCTGAGAGTGCTAGCCGGGCAGAGCCGAGCCGGCGGGCAAATGTCAGGAGCAGGTGGGAGAGCAGGTGGGGCGCCTCCCACCACGCCTGGGAGTGGTCAGGTGGGGCCTCGCAACGACAGAATTTCGGAGGAGTGACGGGCAAGGTGCTTTACAGAGAGACCCCAGCCCAGGGCCGCTCAGGACTCTGGTGTGGGTCGTTCTCTCTGCGGGCCGCCCTGCAGGGTGGACCCCCCGCCCCCGGGCTGCGCCACCTGCAGTGAGGTCCTCTCCGGGGCACTCTCGGGCCCGAGCCGGACTGCGTTAGGAAGCACAGTGCGCCGTGAGCTACTGATGGGACAGCACAGGACCGAGAGGTGCAAATCCTCCAGGACTGCGTAAACTACCACTTACTGGAACCACGTGACGCTCGTTTTTGAAAAACAGATTCTGATTCAGTGGCAAACTTCACTTCCAAGCAGGGAACACCTAGGGGCGGCCAGGTCCACTTGGAGAGGGTGGGACAACTTCCCGGTCCCAGAGATGTGGCCTCCCGCCGCCACCGCCCGGACACGTGCGCCAGGAACAGGTCTGGGCAATCTCCCAGATGCACCAAACTAGCAGAGAACGTGGAAAGCGCAAGGAGAACAACAGGCAAGAGAGGAAGCAGAGAAGGAGGAGGAGGAGCGTGTAGAGGCAGCAGGGGAGGGGGACAGGGGAGGGTGAGGAGGGGGGGGGAGAGGGGAGGGGGGAGTAGGTGCGTGCTGCGATGTGTGTGTGTGTGTGTGTGTGTGTGTGTGTGTGTGCGCGCGTACATGCTGCGCCACAGTGGAGGGCACGCGCCTTCCCCTAACTCCCGCCGGGCGCTCAAGAGGCCGACGCTCGGGCAGCCTGGAAGGCTTCCTAGGCGAGCGCTGCACCAGCCGTAACCTGCCACTCTGGGCTTCACGACCTCTTCCCCTGTTCCTGGGAGGGCCTCAGCTCAGCCGGCCCCGAGCCACCAGACCATGAGGGTGAAGTCGTTAAGGGGACCGGACCACAACGCCGAGCATCCCACCTGGCCTGCAGGGGGCCACTCGTCCGGGCAGGTGTCAGGCACTGCTGGGCAACCCCCTGCCGGGCAGTGTGGTGCCTGGGATTGGGCTGCCTGGGCGCACGCCCCTGGTCTGGGCGCTCGTGGGAAAAGAGCTGGCTGATGCTGGGATGCACTCTGGGGCGTCAGGGTCGGGAACAGGGGCTTTTTCCCGGGGAATGTAAACCACAAGGTGATATTTGTTGGCTAATGTGGTTACAGGGGCGGCTGGTGAGCAGCCAGGTTGGGGGGTGGGCTGGACAAAGCTTGTACCAGGAGGAGGATTTGCTCTCTGTGCTTAGCCTGATGCCCCGAGATCCCCACTGGAGGTCACAGCCACCCTGTGAAGAAAGATGATATGCAGAGCCTTAGGGCCTTGAGGTGGGGACTCCATAGGTGCCTTGAGGTACCGACAGGTTTTAAACTTTTTAAAACCAGACAATTCATTCAAAACAGCCTCACTTGTGGCCTTAAGCCAGCGTCCGTTTCTTGGCCTCCCCCTCCTCTGTAGAAGGTGGAGAGTGCAGTGGTAAAGTGCAGGGACCCCCCCAGACAACAACCAGGTGGGAGGCCCCGTGAACAGTCAAAAGAAAGAAGTCTTGAGGCGTTTTCAGTGCAGAAAAGGTGGTTTCATTATAGCACAGGGACAGGACCGGGGACAGGAAGAGCTGCACTGGGGTTGTTGTGGTGACCGATTACAGGAGGAGTTGGGGAACAGCATAAGCAGCAATTTGGAAGCAAGGCTTCCAAGACCTTGAAAGCGAGCTGCTGTTCACGATAAAGGTTGGTGTGCTGTTTAGTAAGACCTCAGTCCTGGGGAACCCTCAGATGTGTGAAATGATCAAGCATGTTTGTTGACGATTGCTAACGTAGTAGGGGTGTTTGTGCTTGAGTAGTACAGCCAGAAACAAAGCTGCAGTGGTAAAACATTGAGAGAGTCTCACCAGGAGCTGCAGGGGTGATCTCCCATGCCTCAGAGGCCCTGCCTGGAGACTGCGAGCCACAGCAAACTTGACGCCGTTCGTTCTTCTCCCATCACCATAAAGTTTCCCATTCATGAGTCTCCCGGGAGAACTCCTGGAACTTCCATTGCTAATATGTCCCCAGGTGATGCTGTCTAGATCCATAACCCACTGGCTCTGCCATTGGGTCCCTGTGATGTGTAAGATGATGCATATAAGCCAAAGACTGGTAGCTGTTGTAAAACATTTCCCCTCTGTGAAGGGACGGCACCAACCTATGGGAGGCACCGGTCTGTGCCAGCCTGGTTTTGGCTTTGTGGACTTATAGCGATGAAAAGCAGTCCTCCTGAATAGCGAGCTGCATTTTAAAATTATCCTGATCCCTTCAAGGGCTAGACAGAACTCACCTTGGAGTTGGGAAGGTCCACCCTTCAAGTGTACAGCTTTCTTGGGGTTCTGTGTCCCACTTGCAGGTGATATCCCACGTGGTAAAACCAAGGAGTTGTTGAGCCCAGAGGAGTGGGTCGCTGCCGAGAAGGCAAGGAGGTGCCGCGCATCCACAGCTCTTGGAACGATTTCCGTGTGTGTGTGTGTGTGTGTGTGTGTGTGTGTGTGTGTGTGTGTTGTTTATTTTTGAGAGACGGAGAGCATGAGCAGGGGAGGAGCAGAGAGAGAGGGAGACAGATTCCGAAGCAGGCTCCAGGCTCTGAGCTGTCAGCACAGAGCCCGACGTGGGGCTGGAACCCACAAATTGTGAGATCATGACCTGAGCTGAGTCGGTCGCTTAACCCACTGAGCCACCCAGGCGCCCCTGCATGTGATGTTTTAAGTTAAGTAGCGAAAAGGCAACTAGCAGGAAGGGTTTGCGTGGAGCCAAGGCAGAGGCACAGGAACACAGGCGCACGGATGACAGCATCTTAGGGGCGTTCGGAGGCCAGCGTTCCCAGACGTTTGGATCAACGTGTGTGCTCCAGTGTGGACGAACGGGCGGACACCTAGAGGAGGCACCTGCTCAGGGTCACCTCCTCCTCCAGGACAGTGAGGAAGCAGCTACAGACTCGAGAAGTGCACAGCATGTGGCCTTTCCTTGCGGAAGCTCGTCCATAGACGGTCCCCTTACTGCTCCAGGCCGTCCTTTATGGACCAGATCCCTGGAGGCTCCCGCTCCATCGTTCTAGAATTCTCTGACTTCTGTGAAGTCTCGGGGGGTCTGCCATCTCCTCAGACAAGAGCAGTCCAGCCTGTCACCCGGCCCGGTCTGCCTGGAACACGGCTGCTTGTGGGTGGGCAGCTCCTTCCCCTGTGTCCCATTTCATCCAGGGGCAGTCACGGCTGTCCACAACAGGGGACAAGAAAGATGAGTTCTGTACCAGTGAGCACCGCACTGGCAAAGCTCTGGGCACGGCCTCCATGGGACCCAGATGGAGAACACGTTATTGGCCCAGCTCTGAGGGAAGGAAATCACAGTTTAAGAACGTATAGATGAAAAATGGATGTAAACCCGCAGAGATCTCTTAAGCAAACTCTAGAAGGGCTGGGATGACTGGAGCATGGTGTTAGTGTGCAGTGTCAGAGCACGGGGGACACTCGTGCTGATCTTCCAGGGACGGCTAGAGCGTCACATGTGCACACACATACACACATGTTCGTGTGCACATACATGTGTGCATGCATGCAGACATATGCACACAATGCACATAAATGCACATGTGTGTGCCTATACATATGTGCATGCGCATATATACACATGCACATACAGACATTTTTTTTGTCTGGCTCTGTGCTGACAGCTCAGAGCCTGGAGCCTGCTTCAGATTCTGTTTCTCCCTCTCTCTCTGCCCCTCCCCCACTCATGCTCTGTCTCTCTTTCTCTCTCTCTCCTTCAAAAGTAAGTAAACATTTTTTAAAAATTAAATAATCTCTACACCAAATGTGGGGCTCAAACTCACACCCCCAAGATCAAGAGTCATGTGCTCTACCGACGAAGCCAGACAGCCCCCCCCCCCCACAAAAAGGAATGTCACTTACAAGACACACATTCTAGTGGTGGCCTCGCCATAACTAAAAATATTGCTGGAAAAAGTGTTCTCAGTTCTTAGACTTCCACGGTACTACATGAAAGACCGTCAAGCACTTTGCAAAAGTCCACGGGTGTTGGGGATCATTGTTTATGTCAATATCATCTCATTATGGTTGTTTTTGTTACATTCCAGATGGATTGCTATACAGGGGTGACAGGCACCATCTACGAGTACGGTGCCCTCACGCTCAGTGACGGGGACTACATCCAGTTCAAGCAGTACGCGGGCAAGGTCGTCCTCTTCGTCAACGTGGCCTCCTACTGTGGCTTGACAGCTCAGTATCCTGGTAAGAACACGTGTTTCAATTCTTTTGGAACCAGCTTTGTCAGATGGCCACATCCTAATTCCAGAGGTTTTCCCAATTTGCCATTGGGGGAGGGGGTGGTGATCACATGCGTCCGTCCCCCTCAGTCCTGCCACCACTCTACTCCTTGGGGGCCAACAGAATTATCTCCAGATCTGAGAAATAAGATTCTCCCGAAGATGCAGTCAGAGGCCAGGAACGTGCCTGTCACCAAACGAGGTGGTTTGTTCCTCGACGCCCTGAGGTAGAACATTTACTGTGGGGAGCCATGGGGCTCCTCAGTAAGAAGGTGCTGGAAAGAACTTATTTGAGAATCTGGGCTTGTGTTAGGTGCTCTGGGGCAGAATTCAAGGGGTGGAAGTTTTGCCCTGAACTGGATGCTGTCAGGAAGTGAAGAAGTGGGGACAGTTCTGTGACAATGATTAAGATACACCTTCATCGGGGCACCTGAGGGGCTCAGTCGGTTAAGCGTCCAACTTCGGCTCAGGTCATGATCTCGCGGTCCGTGAGTTCGAGCCCCGCATTGGGCTCTGTGCTGACAATTTGGAGCCTGGAGCCTGTTTCGGATTCTGTGTCTCCCTCTCTCTCTGCCCCTCCCCTGCTCATGCTCTGTCTCTCTCTGTCTCAAAAATAAAATAAAACATTTAAAAAAATTAAAAAAAAAAAG